TTTTTTTTTTTAATTTTCATTTTTATTAAATTATTTTACAAAAGTAATTAATTATTGTTTTAATTAATATATTATATAAATTATTATAATTAATATGTTTTTATGTTAAAAACAAAATTAAGCACAAGAAATGTCTTTTGTTGGTTGATTGTTGGCTAAAGTTAAAGTAAGATTTTTTTATATAAATTTTTTTTTATATATAACTCTTTTAAAATAAAATAAGATAGTTTAAATTAATTACAAAAATTTAAAAAAAAAAAAACGTCTAAAAATTGTGCAATCGTCCGTTTTTTTTTTTCTCTTTAAATTAATATAAACAAAATACTGTTTGCAGTATTTTTTGTTGTTGTTGTTATTTTTCCCTCTTTCTAGATAACTCTAAGCATTTACGTTTGTATGCTACGGGTTTGTCAAAATTTTTATCTCGAATATCTGCTTTTTTGTTTTTGTTTTGTTACTATTTATTTTTCAAGTCATAATACTACACAAAGAATCTAAATCAAAACCAATGTACAACACATTTGCTGAATATTTTTTTTTTTTTTTGCTTTTTTTTGCTGCTTTTGCTGCTTCTTTGCACATTTTTTCGTTTTTGAATATTTTTAAAATAATTTTTAGGAATATTCTTTTGCCATTGTTGCTGTTGCTGTTGTTGTTGTTACTGTTCTTGTTGTTACTACAATCTACATTCAAATATTGTCAAATCATTATTAATTATATATTATTTTATATAATTTTTTTTTTTTTTCTTTGTTCATTTATTATTTTTCTAAAGCCTGTGTGTGTATATGTATATATCAAGAGTTTTTTTCAATGGAATACTTGAGATCATCGTATTCCATTAAAGTGTTTCATCTCTTTATCCTCGCTGCTCGTATGTGTCAGTGTAGTGTCTCTTTAACTAATCATTAAAAATAATACATTCAGTAGTTTTTCCTTTTTTTTTTTTTGTTTACAACATAATTAAATTAATAAAAGTTTGTTTTTGTTTTAATTTTCCTTCATTTTTATACAAAAAGAAAAGGAAAAAAGTGTAACGAAAAGTTAATTGAATTTATAAAAAAAATAATAGTGAAAATCAATAGAGTGAATAATAAAGGTTAACAAAAAAAAAAAAAAAAAAATAAACGGTAATGGAAGGAGAATGATAATAAGGTAGATATAGATGATGGATATGATAATCAATCAAAATTGATAAACAAAAAAAAGTTTATAATCTACATGCATTAAGTTAATAATTTAGTAATTTTTTTTTTTCTAAAATTACTTAGCAATTTTTGCTACTGTTGTTGTTGTTGTTGTTGTTGTTGCTGTTGTTGCTGTCTGTTTATATATCAATCTTTGTTAATTAATACAATGTCTTGTAAATGTTTGCTTCTCTTTCTTTATCTTTCTTCAGTTTTCTCGTTGTGGTGTTTCTGTTGTTGTTGCTGTTGTTGTTTTTAGATAAGAAAGAGAATTTACAAGACTTGTATTAGGTTCACTCAATTATACACATCCCCTTTTATATCAGCATCATTCTCCTTCTCAATCATGCCTTCGTTGGTGGCGTTATTCCAAGCACCATTCATGCATTTTGACGAGGAGAAGCACAATTTCATAATAAACGGAAATTTGGTACCTAAAAAAAGAACAAGCAGATATTTCAACCGATTAAAATTCATCTTAGAGCCCATCGTGAAAAACATTGCGTCTCTTTATGCTAAAACTTTATGGAAAAGGATGAGCAGCCGCCACTGCCCCAATAATGATGATGCAGTTTTCACATAAGTCTTCCATACAAATGTAACAAATTTTGGCATGGAATCTTGTGAATTTGATTTTCATTATGCTTTTATAATAGAATTTATCAGAAAACGAGATTGCCGGCCGATTTCTGTACGCCTTATCTTGCAAAATTCAGATTCGCAGAAAAGCGGATAGAATATCATGGTGCATTTTTGATCAAAAAAATCTTTTCAATCATTTGCTGATTATAATCAATTCAAGATTCAAGATTCAAATTCAGAGATTCAACTCCTTTTTAGATATTTAATGGATTAGCAACAAGCTACGCAATTCCGTGGGAAATGCAGAGAAGAAAGCACATAAAAATTTGTATAGTTGTCTCGCGCCTGCAATAAGACTCATATACTGTTATCGAGCAGCTTACATTTTAGAGTCAAGTCGACCAACTCACAAATTGAACGAAATTTTCTCTCAGTCATCTATGATAGTCAACAGGCGATGATCATTATTATAGGGAGTTCGAAACGGTAATTATTGCTAATCTCCTCAATTAATTTTTAAGAAAACATTATGCCGTTCGCCAATTGTCACGTCTCTTGTAGATCTCATAAAAAATGGGCCTTTTTCAGTAAATAATTCGATTGAGTTTTCTCAGTTTTCGAATCGAAAAATACTTTTTGGCTTACACGAAACGGACCGTTAAAGGAAATTGGAACTGAAGCAAGAGTAGATCAAAAAGCTTAAGCGTTTCATCGCTTCTACATGGAATGTATCGTAATTGCTTATATATTTAGTAACTAACACACATACACTAAATTCATTACTAATCAGTTTGGGCTGCCAAAGCCTTCATGAAATTATCCTTTAAGTTTATATTTCCGAATCCCTTTAACTTTATTTGTCTGTACCGACATGTTCAGAAGAGTAATGATATTGACCGCAATCTCTCTCTTGCTTAATTTATTACCATTCGTCCCCTTTTAGACCAACAATTACGTTATTTGGCGATGTTAAACAAACAATCTATGAAAGATGATTAAACAGAGTCGCATTCGTATACGCAATTTTCTGTGTGTGCTTAATAATGCCGGCAATCTATCAGGCACGTTCTTAGCATCGGAAATTGGTTACAAGTTATCGGCATTATTTTTGATCGACATTAGCTTTAGGTAGCCTATAACTTCCCCAATAGTCCAATCCTTATCAAATTAACCTGACATGTGATTTTAGCGACAGCAATTGTGCCTCATTGATTGGTGGCACACACACCGCCACACACACTAAACTTGTGTGACAATTAATCTTGGGGGCATGGAATTGCAAGTGCTCGCCGACATGGGCGTATGATTGTTTAGCAAGAGATCTGACATCAAACAATGCCTATAGAAAAGCGAAGACATTAAATTGGTTGCGCGCGATTAAAAAGATCGCTGATAGTGCTGACCATGTAAGTTGTCTTTCAGCATGCTTGCTTTTCCTGATGGCCTAGTAGGTGTGTTCAAGAGCTAAATGGGTAGCATTTTGTCTATATTCATGGTGCATTCTTCTAATCCCTGTCGGAGCAAAGCCTAAGTATGGTTACGGGCCATATCGTTATTGCTCTCAAAATCGCTAAAATTCTTCCTGATTATTGGACTACAAATTTCAAATAAATTTACTGAAAAGATGTTTGCAAAAGGGATGCATAGCTTTCACTGTCGATCGCACTTTGTCCTTGTTAAGTAAGAATGAATCTGAATAGCATTTGAACATTTTTTCCTTCCAAATCATTTACATTCTCTTACCGCTTTTTTGCGCCTATGGTATTTCGGCTTTCAATTCAATTGAAAGAGGATTTTTATATGATTTTTCAATTTCGTTTTCCTTTTACTCTAAATTTCGTAGTGTTTCCAATGTTCTTGTACATCACCGAAGTGTGAGGGACATGTTCACTTTGGCAAAACGTTTGCAACGCTCAGAATGAAGCTTCAGAGACACCACAAAGTTTATGTATTCTTGAATCAATTTACGCATGTCCCTCCGTCCGTCTGTCCGTTTGCGTAATGAAAATTATCATGGCAGCAAAAATGAAGCTATCAGCCTCCAATTTAGCAGAAATATTTGCTGCTTGCACGAAGGTTTGTGTTGAAAATGGGGCAAATCGATTGAAGGACATATCTACAGTACAAAGTAAAGTGAGAAAAAAGGACTAAAAAATGGGTTTTTCGTTGGTTACTTGTAACCTACAGCAAAGCAATCTACAGTAATTTGAATGTACATTTTGTGGGACAAGGTATAGATAGCATTTGCACGAAAATGGGAAAAATTGACCACGCCTACTTGATATTATAGTGTATCAAAGTTTCATTTTTTTTTTCAATACCTTTATAAGGCGCAGAAGCGGGCTTCAAAAATCGCATGTGAGCATGTCCGTCTAGTCGTCTGTCCATCTGTCCGTCTGCCCGACCGTGTAGTAGTTGTGCTAAACATTTTCCCTTTAACAAAAATTTTTTCCTTATTTCTGAGTGAACCGCTTTTCATTTAGTTTGCATAACAATCGAGAGACGAGAGACTTTACTCTAATCTAAGCAATAATGTAATAAATTTTATTTGTAGACAAGTAATGTTTTGAAAAAAAAAATTTTTTTAAAAAAGTTTGACATACAAAGTCTGCTGCGAGAGAGGAATTGAAAACCTACTCACGTTGTACGTAGTTAAAATGCATTCTCGGAACACACACAGAGTTAGTTCAAACAAAACCAATGCATTGTGCGTGTATATGTGTGCGTGTTGTAGAACATTAACATAAGACAACATTTTAATCAATGAGAGAAAATATTTAGGTATGGAATTTGAGATTTGTGGATTAAATTTAAATTCCTTTGGAATAACCTTCGGCTCTGCAACAAACATATCACAAGGCTTTCCTTAAGGATTTTACTAAAGTATGCAATAATCATTGACTCCGATTGTCGCGGTAAAAGTTTATTTGATTCATTGAGCGGACTCGGTATAGTGTGAAGGGGCGGACTGAAAACAAGCAACGAGTTATTTTAATTGATTTTAGATCTTGATGTCACAGGTTAAGCATTTGTTAAAGCACAATATAACTCCGCTTACCTTTTCCCTCGATTGGTAGATGATTGCATTTCATGATGGCCAAAACAGCTTGAGCTATATTGGGGAATTCAATAAGACCGGATGAGGAACGTTCTGTTTTGAGAGGGAATAAACGCACCGATGTGGCGGGTACCTCTTTAATATTAAAAATGCCAATTAACTGGTCTTCGGTGAGTCCGGGTGGAGTATTAAAGAAATGTAAAATCTAAAAAAAAACAAAGAGATGACCCAGAGAGTGAGGAAACAAATCATTTATTAAAAAAATTAAACAAAAAAAAAAAAAAAAAAACAAATAAGCAGGAAAAAGTATAAGAAGAATAATTGAATTTTATTAAGTTAATCGCTTACCTTGCTTGGTGGTTGTATGCGATTTTTGCTGGCCTGAGCCGGTGATAGGAAACGATTATTTTTGGAGCCTGTGTATTCTTTAAAACTGGGTGTATGATCGGGTAATAAGAATGGATTTATAACTTCGGATAAGAAATTCTGTTTGGAGAAAGCAATCTGTATTTTGCCATTAGTGCCGATGGGAATGTTGTTCAAATGTTGGACGCAACGTTCGACAGCAACCGAGTCACCCATTTGCACCATAGCTGTACCCTCTTTGGTTTTCAAAAACTTAATCTGCAACGACAAGAACAACAATAAGGAGAATATTAAGTTAAGCAGAGAATCGAAAGATAAAACAAAACAACAAAAACCGCTCTTCAAAATTGCTTTGTTACGCAACACTTTTCGAAGTGCTTATGTGGAGTAATAGACTTTTTCCTAAAATTATTGCAATCATAATTTTTTGCAAGCAACACACAAGTACAAGCAGGCACAATGACTACTACGCATTCACATTCACGCAAACATGAGCGGCGAATATGTGAGAATAGATTGCTCAGCTCAGCTGTTGATGCTGCTGTTGATGTTGGTTGCCCATGTTGCTCGCATGTTGTTCATGATTTTTATTAGCCATTTAATGGTAATGAACAACACCATCATCATTATCATAACGTTATGTCTGTAAGTTTATGAACTGAAAAATACTATGTTTTTCTAAGCTCTCGTATAGTTAGTTATTGCAAGAAAACTGGATTTTTAACCATTTTCGCGTGGCACCAGCCGGCTGAGAAAAAGAAACTCTATTCATAGTGTATTGCCCTCATCGCTGCATTGGCCTGATTGTTTTGCTTTGCTTTGCTTTGCTTAGGCGAAAGAAAAATGCAAGCCCAACTGAAATCAAATCAATTCAATTGAATCGTTTTTTTTTTTTTTTAACTAGAAACCATCAAACATGGACCGCAAACTACAGAGTACGCTATATCGCTGAATATATATATATATATGTATATACATATATACATATTTATAAACACCTATGTATGCATACAAGCATAACATAGATGTGTACACGTATGCGCGCGCGCATGCAAACACACACACACACACACACAACGGCAAAGTCATCACACATTGCAGTGTAATTGAAGTGTAACTGAATTTGTTTTTGCTATTGAGATACTTTAGCTAACATAAAAATTTGTTGTTTTTTTTTGGTTGTTTTTTTTTTTTTTGGTCAATTTTCTGCCAGAAACAACAACAAGAGAAATAACATAAACCACTTAAAAATACATAAGTGTAACTAAAATATTTCATTGTTGGCCTATCGAAGCGTTCGTCCGCTGCTCGCCCATCTTATTCACTTACTTACCGTAGCCGCTATACCGCATAACGATATGAATTTGCAAAATATACTTGATTGGCTGGTCGAACCAGCATTTACAAACATAAATTCACTCACACACACACACACACACACACATACCTATAACCGTAACCATAAATACGTCGCATGTTTCTATTACACGCAATTATCGCATAGCGTGTGATTTCAAAATAATATACAAACGCGGCGCGTAAACAGGTTCATTGCATTTTAAAGTACAATTTTGCATTGCGATCGTTTAAAAACGTTTAACGGCTTTATTTCTTTTTTCTCCAAACACATTAGTAGGTTGCTGAAAAGTGTGTCCGGTGCAAATATGCATAAATTAACAAAGTTCACTTTCACTTACGCCTTAAAAAAAAAAAAATGCAATAACTCTTTGCTTGTTGATATGAATGATATCAACAGCGATGAATTTTCCAAAATTCACATCAACGAGGTATGGATTTCGATAAAAAAAAAAACTCTTGCTAGCTAAAAGTGAACTTAACACACTTAACTTAAAACACTTTCTTTCCTTCACTAGAGAGAATATTGACTTGTGTTCAAGGTAATCTTTTAATGGCCATCTACTAATAATGAAAAGTTCGGCCATGTCGGCCCCCGTCTTTTCGATTTGAACGCAGCTTTTCTAAACGGGAGTAAAAATACTCTTCCTTCTTCTACTCACTGCTTTTCATCATTTTTGTATTAAATAAAAGGAATAACATTTCATTAAGAGAAGAAGCTTACGTCCTCCTTCAGGTGAATTTCTAGTCTATTGAATTTTAGTGACGCTCTACTGCTAGCTTGGTGATGGTAGTTAGCTAAAGAAAGTTTCTAACTGAACTTTCTTTTGCATGATTTGCAATTATCGTTTCCTCTTTGACGTCTGCAAACAATAATAAGCCGGGTAAAGTTAGATAAGCAAAAAGTCATTTGAAAACATCAACATCAACATCAAAAATTACTGTTGTCTGCAAAGTTTCTAACCCGATCATGAAGATAGCACACGGCCGTAAAAGTCGGAGAGCGTGGTTTTTGCATCCGCTGACGAGTTACATACCAGGATTTCAGATATATATTTGATTTGCAATTGGTGCTTGACAATCGTTTGATTGAGTCGATATAAGCGTTCTTGTAAAAAAGGAAAAAATCGAGCTTCGTATAGTCATTCATTACTTATTTGGTTTTGAAAGGCAATATCGCTTGCACAGCTTACAGACAAAGTTGGACTCTGTGTACATGTACAACCCACACTGTCGTTTACAACGTGACTGAATTGAAACGTGACCCCATTAGCTTAAATAACGACGATGAACATAACGGACGGCTAAGAACTGCGACTACTGACGTTAAGATCGCTTATTTTCCTCAAATGGACTTCGACGACCGACGCATTAAGCTTAGAATATAGCAGGGGCTGTGAGGTAGGAAGAAGGCATCTATCACATATTGAGCCAGGATTGAGTCAAGAGAAAGTCAATCATATATTCGTGGCCGCGCTTTCTCACAAAACAAATGCTCTCATAGGACATAAACCCTTTGTCACCAGCTACGCTACAATGGCGAACGGCGAAATGTGAACGTTGGAATGATTGTATCATTTTTGAAGAGAACCTTTGACACGACCAATCGCTCTTAGGTGCCCATATTGGACACAGAATTATAAAAACTAAAATTTTTCTAAATTTTATATGTCCTTGAAAATATTTGCGGTAGTTTCTGAATCAGTGTACTTTCCTTAACAGCTTTAGGCTTTAAGCGCCATCTGTCGTATATCTCGGTATGTATGCGTAGTCTATCCTTGTAGTGTAATTACAGTAATTTTTTCGTTGAAGCTTTAGACGGCCTACAGGTATATTTGCGATAAATTTCAGATCAAAGTATGCTATAAAATATTATGTTTTGGTATTATACAATAATAAGGAGCCCAAATCAAAGTTAAGTCAAGAGCGTAATATTCTAAATTTTAGTTTTTGCGGGCTTCAAGAAAACTGACAACTAACGGATGTACGGTCGGGAGGATTGAGAATTTTACCTTGGATATAGAAAGTTTATACAAATTTTAGTGGTGGGCTTTGTGTGTTTATTACGCAGTCTTCTCTTGCTCAGCAGCAAGATTAATGAAGAAAATTATTTTTTGTTGGCCGCGACTTTACAATTAAATATGCTACACCAACTCTACAATTATTCATATAAAAACTTTTTACAATGAGGTGAAAAAGTGGTCCGATTCGAACCATTTTTAAAGGCCTTCGTTCTTGGATGCAAGCACGTTTGTGTACCAAATTGCATCAAAACATCTCAAAAATTGCCACGTGTAAGTTAAAAAATACAAGACGGACAAACAGAGAGACAAACTTAGATCGATTTAGAATGTGAGCCTTCTCCTCCTCCTTCTACCTCAACTTCCCCTGGGCTTTGTGTAAATCCGCACAAACTTAACACGTCTTTGTACAATAACAAGTAGTATAGGGCGTAAGAAGATATCAAAAATGTATAAAAATCTGTTGCATACTTTTAAAACGAATTTATTTTTTTACATTATTGCCTGTCTTTAGGCCAGAGTTTGTTTTAATTTGCTGCCTGCTTTTAGGCTATGCAAGAAATATAAATAAGTTAAAGCATTAGACGAAAAAAAAAAAAATAAATAAAATCAAACTTTTCTGTTGCATACTTTAAAGATAACTCTGTTTTTAAAAATGTGCTGCCATGCTTTTAGGCTTTATTCGCGCATTGAGATGGAGAGAATTGCAAGATTTTATTATATTAAAGAATTGTTCTTTTCGTTGCACTTCTTGATGTGGCCTTAATGTATTGCTTTGCAAAAAGCAGACAAATCGACCTAAAAACCATCGCAATACTTAGATATTTATACATATATCTACTTAATCCATATAATATTCAGTTCAACTCCTATTCACGATTTAAGTAATAAAAATGTCATAAATCATATTTAGAGAAAGCTTATGTCGCAGAACAGCATTAGTTTCATAAGTTATTAATAAGGGAATGTGAAAAGCAAGGAAACCTTTTAAGGAAAACTGTCATATAAATTCTATTTAACCCCTTCTTTCTGTGTCCCTTCCTTGTCAGTCATTTTTCATTTCTTTTTTTTTTTTTTTTAACGATAACTCGAATATTCTCTTTATGAAACTTGTAAAAGAGCAAATGCGTGCAAAATTTTTGATGATTTTGCTATTTCGAAAGTAATTCTTAAAAAAAAAAAATAAATGAAATGAATTAATAAAAAAAAAAAAATAAGAAAAAAACAGAGAAAAGCATCAAATGTGAAGAAAACAGGAACAGAAAGAAAGATATTTTTTTTTTTTTGTTTTATAGTTTTGCCGTTTGTTTCACTTACTGCCGCTACTGCTGCTACTGCTGCTGCTTTGTGTTGTATCTTCACTCGTGTAGCTTAAAATTATTTCCTGAGAAATCCTCATGTTTTCCTTTAGTAACGACTTGTAATAATTCATGGTTTTCTCAATTTTTTATTTTTATTTTTGTTTTTTTGTATCCTTTTCTTTTCATATGCTTTGTGAAAAGAAAAACCCAAGAAAAGGAAAAATAAAGTGAACGAACATGAACATATTTCTTATATTTTTTTTCTTTTCCATTTCTTATTTCTCATACACATATACATATATATATATATATATATATATCTATTATACTACTTTAAGTCATGTAAGCCATGAAATGCTAATGATTTTCTCGTTACTCTACTATATTATATATTATATTGCGAAAGCAGTCCTGTGAAGTCGTTTCAATTTTATGTCAGAATGTTACTATACTACTATCACGTATTCTTTGGCAGTTTAGTATTAACTGTAACAAAGTAGCAGCAGAGGAGTTCTACAAAAGTCCTTCAAATTTGATGAGCCTTCCTGACGAATGGAAGATAAAATAAAAAACAAAAAAG